TCCCCAGAGGCAGGAATCCCAGAGTTATAGAGCATCCCAGTCCCCATCATCGGTGGGGCACATACAGACTCACTTTGTTCCTCCCTACCCCACCATGGGCCAGGGAAGTCAGTACCAATTTTAGGATGCTACTCAAGCCCTCACCACTTCACGAGCAAGGACTCCGTAATTAGGCCAGATGGGCCAGGCCAGGGCATGGGTCGAGGCCAAGGACGGGGCATACATGCCAGGACTTCGGGAACCCAAAGACATGTCTATGCCATCACACCTCAAATTGAGCGAGTGGATTAGTCGGTCATTCAGGGTACATTGTTACTCTTTCACTTATGGACTATGGTATTATTTGACTTTGGTGCGTCACATTCATTCATTTCTGCATCATGTGTGAGGGATCTGGGCATAGAGAATGATACTTTGGAAGAGCCATTGTATGTGAATTCACCCTTAGGAGCTAGGGTGTGTGTTGACCAGATATGTCGGTGTTGTAAGTTAGAGATCTCGAAAATTCTACTCACCGTGGACCTTAGGGTCATCAACATGTTGGAGTTCGATGTCATCCTTGGGATGGATTGGTTGGCGGCACACCAAGTCGTCATTAACTGCGATAGGAAGAGGGTAACTTTTTACACACCGGACGGTGTTTGTTTCAAGTTCCAGGGGAAAAGCACAATGCCTTATCCTAAGCCCTGTATGACTCTCAATGGCACTGATAGTTAATGGGTTATCTTACGAGCCTTACTTTAGAGGACGAGGTGAGACAAGAGTTGGGTCTATCTCAGGTAGTTTGTGAGTATGAGAACGTTTTTTCGGATGAACTATTGGGATTATCTCCCCATAGGGATGTAGACTTCATGATTGAGTTGCATCCCAGTACATCGCCTATTTCTATAACTCCACATAGAATGGCGCCGGCAGAGTTGCAAGAACTCAAGGTTCAATTGCAAAAATTTTTGGACAAGGGCTTTATTAGACCGAGCATTTCACCTTAGGTCGTTCTGGTGCTATTTGCCAAAAAGAAGGACAAGACCCTTTGGTTATATATAGACTATCAACAGTTGAATTAAGTTATTATCAAGAATAGATACCCTTTGCCGAGAATCGATGATCTATTTGATCAATTGAGAGGAGTACGGGTCTACTCCAAGATAAATCTTCGCACTGGCTACCATCAGTTGAGGATTAGGAAGGCAAATATTCCTAAGACAACATTCAGAATGCGATACGGGCATTTTGAGTTCACTGTGATGTCATTTAGATTAACGAATTCCCCGGCGACATTCATGGATCTCATGCTTAGGGTGTTCCAACCCTATTTAGATTAGTTCATCGTGGTGTTTGTTGACGACATCCTGATCTACTCCAAGTCTGAGGAGGAGCATGAGGATCACTTAAGGGTTGTTCTCCAGACCTTGAGGGACCATCGGTTGTACGCCAAGTTCAGCAAGTGTGAATTTTGGCTTACGGAGGTAAAGTTTTTGGGACACGTGGTGTCGACTTTGGGTGTATCTGTGGACCTGGAAAAGGTTGAGGCGGTTCTGAATTGGGAGAGGCCGAAGTCAGTTTTTGAGATACGTAGTTTCTTGGGATTGGCAGGGCATTACCAGAGGTTCATTAACGACTTCTCTCGACTAGCTACACATATGACGAGATTGACCCGAAAAGAGGTCAAGTTTCAGTAGGATGATTCATGTGAGAAGGCATTCCAGGAGTTAAAGAAGAGGCTTACTTCAGCCCCTATTTTGATAGTCCCGGAAAGGGGACAGATGTACACGGTGTACTGTGATGCCTCTACAAACGGACTTGGGTGTGTCATTTAAGGGGTACAAAGATGTACCATGATCTTCATCGCCAATATTTTTGGAGCGGAATGAAGAGACACGTTAGAGACTTTGTCAGACGATGTCTCACATGTCAGCAAGTTAAGGCTGAGCACCAGAGACCAGGAGGTTGCTCCAGCCTTTGGAGGTTGCTGAGTGAAAGTAAGAGCACGTCACGATAAATTTTGTAACCCACTTGCCATGGACATCGAGGGGACATTACGCAGTGTGGGTGATAGTGGACCGACTTATGAAGTAAACACACTTTTTGACAGTACGAATGACCTTCACACTAGAGGAATTTTGTAGATTGTATATACGAGAGATTGTACGGTTGCATGGGGTGCCCGTATCCATAGTATCGAATTGGAATACCAGATTCGCGGCTCATTTTTATGAGAGTTTCCAATGGGCCATAGGGACACAATTGATGATGAGCACTTCTTTTCATCCCCAGATGGACGGTCAGTTGGAGAGGACCATACATATATTAGAGGACATGCTACAGACATGCGTCCTAGATCTCAAGGGTAGTTGGGAAGAACATTTACCCTTAGTGGAGCTCGCCTACAACAATAGTTATCAGGCGAGCATTCAGATGCCNTAGTTGGGAAGAACATTTACCCTTAGTGGAGTTCGCCTACAACAATAGTTATCAGGCGAGCATTCAGATGCCACCCTATGAGGCATTATATAGAAAGTCTTTTCATTCTCCGATTTATTGGACGGAGGTTGGAGAGAGACCTTCTACAGGTCTGGATTTGATCCGAGATACCTCGGGAAAGGTGGACTTGATATAGAAGTGTCTTCTCATGGCTCAAAGCCGACAGAAGAGCTACGCTGACAAACGACGACGACCTCTAGAATTTAGGGTGGTAGATCATGTCTTCTTGAAGGTGATGCCTAAGAGAGGAGTGATCAGGTTCAGAAAACAGGGAAAGTTGTCGCCGAGGTTTATTGAACCCTTCAAGGTACTCGAGAAGGTAGGTACAATGGCTTATAGATTGGCGTTACCACCAAATTTATTAGGTGTTCACGCGGTGTTCCATGTCTCTATGCTCCGAAAATATACTCTAGATCTGACACATGTGACGGATTTGGGTGAGTTGACTGTTGATGTGGATGGAACCTTCGAGGAGGGACCGGTGCGTATCATAAATAGCCAGGAGCAGGTTTTGCGAGGCAAGACCGTGAGGTTAGTGAAGGTGTTATGGCAGCATTGAGGCGTGGAGGAAGCGACATGGAAGCATGAGGACACTATACATACCAACTATCCATTCCTCTTTAAGAATGAAGGTACATTTTTACAACTTTAAGTGTAGTATTACTTGTTGCATATGCATGTGGTTGAATGTGCATGTGTGTGTGAATTTCAGGGATAAAATTCTTTTAAGGAGGGAAGAATGTAAAATCCGGGTAAATTTAAATTTTTTATAAAAAGGGTAAAACGGTAATTTGCTATTACGGTACGGGTTAAAAACCTAATTTTTTTAAAATTTTGAATGATGAAACGGACCTCACTGTTGAATTTGTCTTGCGAAATCTAGTTACTCTATCACTTTTCGTCAAATTTCGAGATAGTCGGATTTTTCGCATTTCACGAGGCGATCGGGGCTCGGGTGACCCAAAAACGAATGTTTTAATAAAATTTTGAATATTAGAAAATAAATAAAGGCAAGTTTAAAGAAAAATATTTTGAAATTGAACCAAGGCAAAATTTAATTATTTCTAGGCAAAACACAGACCCGAGAAAAAGAGGACCGTGTGGTGCGTTGTGGGCCAAGTATTGAGAAGTATATATAATTTCTTGGGATTAATAGGGTACTATCAGAGGTTCACCTATGACTAGGTTAGCTTCACCTATGACTAGGTTCACCTATGAGAAGTATATATAATTCTCGGTTAGCTGTACCTATGACTAGGTTGACTAGGAAAAAAGACATATTTTAGTGGGATGACTCATGTAAGAGAGCATTCCTGGAGTTGAAAATAAGGCTTACTTCAACTTCTATTCTTATAGTGTCAGAAATGGGATAGAGACACACAATGTATAGTGATGCCATGCTTCAAAGGATGGATTGGGATATATCTTGATGCAGTTTGGGAGAGTAGTTGCTTATGGTTCTTGACATCTTAAGAACCATGAGAAAAACTATCTTACACAAAACATGGAGTTGGTAGCCATTTTTTTTTTCTTGCCTTGAAGGTATTGTGCCACTATTTGTACGGAGAATAGTTTGAGATTTTTTCAGACCACAAGAAATTAAAGTATATATTCACACAGCAGGACTACAACATGAGGCAACATGAGTGGATGAAGTACCTGTAGGATTACGACTTCACTTTGCACTACTACCCTAGTAAGGCAAATGTGGTGATTGATGCACTCAATCAGAAGTCATGAAGAGTCTTGACTAGTATAACTTCTCGAGAGTGACAGATATGCAAGACTGTGGGACAATTCGAGTTAAAATAATTTAGATTTATTATTTTTTTTTCTTACACATGCATACATGCCGGGTGTACACCAATGCCTCCCATTTCTGATCTGATTCCCTGCACTCAACACTCACCCACTCTGTTTCGCTTCCACTCTCAAACATCGCGTTCAGGTTGGTCACATCAACATCTAGGAATACACACTCACACGTGTAAATCAAATAAGGAAACAAAAATGTTGTACAAAGAAAAAAATATTTATTATGGAATCTAAAGAATGTCAAATTTACAATCTTATTCTTACATTCAAAAAGGTTATTTATGCAATTCAAATTCCTGACGCCTAAGCCCCAATGGAGCAATTTTATCATTGCATCAGGTCAATCCATCATAGGTATCATTAATATGAATGAAAACTGTGACAACTTACAGAGATACTTAGGAAGCTGAGAGGGTAATGGGCATATGAATCTATTCACTTGGAGGCAAAACGCAAATTTCGCGTTTCAGTGTTTCAGATAGATTATTCCCAACCCTATGTCGCTTAATATTCATTCAACTAAGCTAAATAGTAGTATTTTTCGAAAAACAAAGCTAAATGGTAGAAACACATTAAATTATGGTGAGAATCACTCCTTATTGCGCTTGTTATTTGTGCAAGCATCTCTATTTAAATCACTGAAATTAAAATAACAAAACATAGCATTTGAGCTGTATTGGTCAAGATTTTGTAGCACTTTTGACCAGAAATATGTCACTTACAAGCCAGTCTGGTCTGGTGAAGTACAAGGGACTAACCATAGATGTACAATAATAATAACGTATGACTATTAGTTTCAAATGCCCCAGTGACAGACGACGGCACAATTGGATGCAAAATTGACAGTTTGCCCCCAAACTAATGTAAATATTTTCGCCCAAGACATAAGAGCACTTAGTTTTGAGTTAATGTAAAACCAATATGAATAATCAAGCGGACAATTTGAGATACTCCATAGAAGAGAGGGCGAAGTGAGACTGAAACCATAATTTACATGTGCCATCTGTAATTTGGCTAAAATAAAAAAGGGAAGAAACTATGTACAAGCGTTTGCCTTCAGTAATGACTCAATCAAACTCAAATTCCATAAGATGTTCTTCAGATGCATGAAGGATTGGAAGTTTTACTCTCGGTTTCTTGCTTGTGCCATAGGATCTCTCAGGGCAGAATACAATGTACACAGTTTGACTAGGGTCACTGTACAAATAATACAGAAGCTGTCCAGCAGCATAACCACCAAGAAGTTGGTAAGATCTCTCTGATTGATCCAGCGCAAGGCAAAAATCATCTGTACCTGCAGAAAACAAGGTGGAAGAATTGGAGAAATTGCATATTAAGAGACCATTTGCACAAAATCAGTGGATGTCTAACTGCATTGGTAAAGCTTGCTACTTGCTGGCAAACTGTGCAACCCATTTTGTGTATTTAATCACCTAGTAAATGGTGGCAGTGTTACCATTAAATTGACTGAGCTTCCGATGAGGCTGACCACCCTGAGGACAACAGCGTAGGAATAGCATCTCAAGAAGACATACACCACATACAAAAACTAGGAAAAACATAAGAATAACCAAATGAAGAAAGAAATGGAGGCAAAATGGTTATTCCATTAAATTTGTGCATGATCAACTAACATTGGAGCACTACGTCCACAAGGCAAAGCATCATAGAGATGCTAAAAATATCAAAAAGATGATAGAATTGAACCAACAGTATTGGCTTAGCAATTAGGTCTAGTGAGTCCCATTACACCGCTTTTTGTATAGTAAGGATATCTAAATGATAAAAGAAGTTTTGCTTTTAACAAAAATAGCCTAAGCCTCTTTTAATGACTAAAGGAACTTACGCTATACTACCATCTCAGGTTGTTTTGCAAGGATGTCAATGTGCATGGGTGGGCTGATGGTCCTGCACACACACACACACAGAGATGATGGGGAAAATTTGAGAGACATACAGTGCACATGTTTACCCAATCCATGAATTTCCTCTTTCTACATATGTTCCCGTGCTGTATCAGTAGGGTTCAGAATGTTTAGGCACCTGCTTACCTGCATCTCTTAACCTCCCTTCATAGGAGAGGAGAAATTACTCTCACATGGATCAATATACACCAATATTAAACTCATAAACCATTGCCAGTCTTGCCAAACAATGAATCTATCAGTTTTTTTTACCAAACTGTCGTCTTATGATCAATTTTTTTGCTTAGTTATGAATTCATTGACGTCTCAATCTCGAGCAAAGCAAATCAGATATCCCAATATAAAATTTAAAGATCTCAGAAAGTGTAGAAAGCATTGTCATTGTAATAGCGCCACTTCGACATGTTTGAATAGTCTGTGGAAAGAGCAAAAAGATGCAGTATGGATTGAAATCTGGAAGATGATGCTTCTAGTAAATGGTGGAAATATGGGTGTTCCTAACAACTTAGTATCTCTCCATTGATCGCATATGTATTTGTGAAATTATAGGCTGCCTTGCATTTGTCTCATTGCCTAATCCCCACTCTTTCCTTTCTTGTTGGAGCCCTTAACTTGAACAAACTCACCTTTAGTGGAGTAATAGTCAGCTCTCAATGAAAATTACATAAACAATCTCAGTTGATATTTGCCTCCTCTGTCCACACATTAAGTGAACATCAGTGAAAAATAAATCCATAATGCTTTTGTTTCTAGTCTATTTGTGTTTGAAGTTGCAACCCACTTAGTTTAGCGCCTTCATTTTTCCCTGCTCAATCAAATCCAGATTCCTTATTGTACAAAAATCATGGTTGGCGATATAGCAACTTGATGAAATTTTATTTCTGTTTATAGGCAGGCATTCTATATGTTATGTGAAGCCTAAAGGAAATCCCCCAAAAAAGATCCCAACCGAGAGAAAAAAAAAAAAAAGAGTGATCTAAATAGACATCAATAGAACAAGACGACCAAATCACTGTACCTCTGGCACAACCACTGCAACATGACCACATCTTACATGATTAGGAACAATCCCAGGATATCAAATTTCTTGATGTATGTTTATGGATATTTTTGTTTTTCTTTGTTATTGTCAATGAGTGTGGTCGGGTTTGGAGAACACAAGAAAAAGAGAAGAAAGAGGGGGGAGAAACCAAAGTGAGCGTCGGAGAGCTTGAACTACCTTCTGGAAAGTGAGCTTGAACTACCTTCTCCCCATATATAAGTATGCAAAAATACTGGACCCTTAGGGATATAGGTATTACATTCATCTTACTCATATATATATTCTAACACTCTACTCAAGTTGGTGAATATATATCATATAATCACAGTTTGGAACAAATATCCCTTAACCGAGCCCCATTCAATGATTTAGTAAATATATCAACAAGTTGATCCTCATATTTGGCAAATGGTGTGATAATATCCCCAAGCAACACCTTCTCTCATGGTTCAAAGTATCGGCCGAGTCCGAGTCAACTCGGCCAAGTCGTATTCGTCTAAGCAGTTGCTGATCCGATAACGATACACGTTACGCCTATATAACGAGAATCGGTTCTGACTCTGGCTACAACTCGGTTGGTATCGGCCCAACTCGGAGCTAAATCGGTTGGGCTCGGCCGAGTCAAACCACTATGGTGTAACCAAATTTGGAAAATCTAGGTAGCAAAAATCCAAAAAAAAAAAAAAAAGAAAGAAAGAAGAAAATGGAAGAGACTCACAGTGAGTCAGCTCCAACTTGGCAAAAGTCGGCTGATTCGCACAGAATAGACCATCAATATTGAGGAAATTCCAAAAAAAAAAAAAGGAAGAAATGAAGTATATGAAGACCCACAAAATCGAAAAATTATCTTGACCAGAGGACCTCTTCTTCTTCTTCTTCTTCTTTTGGTGGAGACTCGTAGCAGATCAATACTAGCAGAAACCCTAAGTTTGTAGATCGAAAAATCGTTAGTCGTCAATCACAGTCTCAGACTCCACAAATCAAAAAATTGTCACCTCTTGCTCTTTCCCTCGCTGTTCGCCTCTCTTTCTCTCTCTCTTTGGTGACCGAGAGAGCCAAGCAAGGATAAAACACAAATCTACATGGGCCACACCCCTTCCTTTGCTTTTAGTCTTTCCACGTGAGTTTATACTTTGCTAGCACTTAGTCCTTGTGTATGGAAAATCTCTAATTCCATTAGTAAATTATTGGCAACAACAATTAGAAGAAAAAAATAAATAAATTAGAACAATGACTCATTAATCTATTAATTGAACACATAATTATTCATGTAAAGTATTGAGATCTACTCGTATTTGTCAAATTTATAATTAATAGATACATACTTGTTCTTGTTTTTATTTTCATTTTTTAANAGTATTGAGATCTACTCGTATTTGTCAAATTTATAATTAATAGATACATACTTGTTGTTCTTGTTTTTATTTTCATTTTTTTAAAAAATTAGGTACTAGTAAGTTAAAAAAAATTCTAATAACATATGTTTCAAGTTTAGAGTGTCCTTAAATAAAAACATTCAACCTAAATGATAATAAATATTTTCGGTAGCGTCCTTATAATTCATTTTTATTATGTTTAATATGTTAAATAATGTATTTTTGGGATATAATGTATAAATGATGATATTTACATATTTTTAAAATTTTTTATGATTTTTTAAAAAATTTTTGGGTCTTCTATCTAGCATTTTGAGCGTATCGACCGATACCACGCCGCGACGTAGCGACCAATGTGTCTCAGTGCCCTCAGAGTCAATGATTGATACCGCGATTTTGAACCACACCTTTTTTGGAACACAACGATAGTCAACTTCAATATGTTTCGTTCGGTCATAAAACACAGAAATAAATGCAAATAGCGACTTGATTATCACAAAATAACTCAAGAAAAGTCTCAGGTAGAATACCAATTTTTGAAAGGACATATTGTATCACGTTAATGCACGTGTAAACGTGTGAACCATTGCCCTTTATTTAGCTTCTACACCAAATCATGCCACTATTGTCTGTTTTTATTTTACATGTAACCAAATTACCTCCCATAAAGGTACAAAATCTTGTAGTATATCGTCTTATCTAAGAGAATCTGCAATCTTTACCCTTTTTTAAACTCAAATTTAAATTTGGGTAAAAAACTCTATGCTAGACTCATACCCATATTTAAAAGTGAGATTTCACTATCATTTAAAGATCCAATAGTCATATTTTATCCTTATTTTAAGTTGAATTTGTTCTCACTTAAATTTGGGTTTCTATTCTTAAAATTTGAGTTTCTCTATTTGAGAGGTCTATACTAAATCAAACTTTTTATCCCTTTTTTTCCTCAAATTTGGGTAAGGATTTGGGTTTCTATTGGAGATGATCCAAGGGAGAACCTACCCAATCAACATCTATGAACCTTTCTAACCGCAAGTTTCCTTGGAATTCATACAACAATCCAAGTCTTGGAGCTCGCTTAAGATATCTAATAATATTTATATGAATAACAAATCCTAAAGTGGTACTCATGGAACTTCTATAACCTGACTTTCTACGCTCATTGGATATGATATATTTGATTGGGTAATAGTAAGAGAATTCATCTGTGCAACTACTTGATGGTACTGTCCAGGATTTGAGAAATATTAACCTTTAGCCACTCAGAGTTTATGATTTGAATTCATTGGGATATCAACTGGTTGACCACTTAGAAGACAAGCCTCCAGTAAAAGGTCAAGCACATATTTTCTTTGGGACAAATTAATGCTCTATTTGGATCTAACAACTTCGCAACGAAGCATATATCTAAGTTAGCCTAAATCTTTAGTATGAAATCAATTTTGCAAAAAACTCTTTCAACTTGACAATACCCATAAAATCATCACATGCAATCATAATATTATCAGTTAAACCACTAAAAAGATATTATGTGCAATAGTATGTAAGTGAAATACCAAATGATCCATTTGACATCTATGAAAACCAAAATCTAATACTGTCTCTCGAAACTTCTCAAACCAAGCTCCTCAGGTTTGTTTTAGCCATATAAAGCTTTCTTCAATTTGCACACACTGCCCTGATACTCCACAGAGTAAAAATCTCAGATGGTTGCTCCATATAGACCTTTTCGGCCAAGTCACAATGTAAGAAGAAAGCATTCTTAACATGTACTTGGAATAAGGGCAAATCAAGATTAACAACCCTTTAAAATCCGTTGTTGTGGAGAAAAAGAAAATTCCAAGGTGGTTAATAATTCTGATGAGCCGGAATTTGAAACAGATATTTTAGAAACTCTTGATGTAGGTGAGGTCAATTTTGATGATATAAATGATGATCATTTTGTGGGTGTTATCGGTCCTCTACAACCAATCGTGCGTTTGTCGGGGATAATAACACTAATTTCCAAGTATCAATCTTATATAGAGCTCCTCATCCATTGCACAACAAAATTGGAACGTCAACGATGATGAACGATATCGAGTGAACACTATTGATGAATAGTACTTGGAGAATAGTACCAAATGAATAGCAACTAGCGACACTATTGTGCGTAACTTCTTACGCTCAACAAAAAGGCTCTAATATCAATTTGTAGTGACGAGCCCCTTATTTGAGTACTGGGGTAGACAAGTGACAACAACAAATTAGGCACACACAAAAGAGAGAGATTTATGTAGTTCAACAGAAATATGCCAACATTCGCGGATCATGATCAAATCTGCCATGAGAAAATTTGAGAATTTGGTATAAACTAACCACTCAGATTTTAATCCATAAACCCAAGCTCTTAAACTCTTGTACACCGTTCTCAACTCACATTCTCATACCTAATAAGAAAACAAGGCATTTTTACTCTTGTTATGCTCAATTCTCACTTCTGAGCTCGATACTTCAACTGGCAAGTGATTCAACCTATATATAGGAAAATGCAACACATATTTGTTGCAAATTCCAGGGGCTACTCTTCGAACAACTTGCCTACCGAGTGCACAAAAATGTATGTTATTTTCTTCACCAACCGTGGGCCTTTTGTCCATTGTTGACAATTAAGTCAAAAAAGATGGCTTGCAAAATGCAAGCCGCATAATACAACAAGTATTTTTCATCTTACATCTTGGTCTACACAAGTATGCTCAAGGAAATTGGTTTCTATTTTTTATGAAAATGATTCCACGAAACTAATGCCTATAATGCACAAGGAAACTATACATATGCAGTAATAAGCATCAGATTGTATTTGGCTATACTATTTACAAAACAAGGCCCCTTAAACTATTTTAAAGGTCCACGAGATAATGCTTTCTATAAAACACGAGGGTGCTAATAAGGGTTGTAAATCAAACCAAGTTTCCTAAGCATTGGTATGCTCATACTTGTCTCAATTTGACTACCACAAGCTCGAGCTAGGTTGCGAGTTTTGTTTTTTGCTAGGATTTCTTGATTATTAGCCATGTGGCTTTACGATTAAGCTATTGGTGCTAATTTTTTATTTTTTCGTCATGAAAATTATTAATGCATTAGATTATAAATCAATTGAGCTTCAGCCTATCAAACATGGTTCAAGATTACGGTATTGACTATTGAATTGCTGGGTACTGATATACATTGGTTGCCATGTCGCGGCACCATATCAGTCGATACACTCAAAATGCTAGATAGAAGGCCAAAGAAAAAACAACAATGGCATATCATATGGGCAAAATACATCATTAAACATAGTGATAATTAATTACACTACCAAAAATATTTTTCATCATCAGTGCTGCTTATTTATGAACATATCAAACCATAATCATTACCACATTCAACGCAAATATTTGTACATAAATTATAAATTGAATCTAAATCTAATGCAAAGTATTTTATTTTGTCAGCTAAGAAATTAAAAACTACAAATATATTTGATATATAAAAAAGAAAATTTACCCAAAAGACACAAAAAAATTTACTCAAAAGCTAAAAATGAATAGTAGTAACAGAGCCCAAAAAAAGTCAATGTCTTTAGTGATAGTTTATCTTTGGGCATGTGCACCGATGCAAAAAATACTTTTGACTACGATTGCTTCTTTTGGATGCTTTGTCCCTTTCGTCTTCTCCACACACATGCATGTAGAAAACTTCAAAGAGACAAAAAACTCACAACCTGAGGGGAATAGGAACCATTGGTCACTAGGAAGAAGAAAGATGAGGCTGGGTTGGATGTTGCCAGTTGTGCGACTGCTTTGCGAAAGGAGGAGGAAGAACTCCCCCGTATTTGATTATGCAGGGACTTTTTGGGTTTGATTCTACAAATATGTTAGCGATCTATATAGTTGCAAGGGGCTAATAGTTTTTACAACTGTGGGTCTTAGCACTTCTTCCTTTCTTTTCGCTTTTTGGTTTTTGTTGTTTGATTGAAAACTTGGAGATTTAGCACAAGATTTCACCATCTCGGACCGATTCCGATATGAATGGTTTGAGTCAACCAAGTTAACTCCAAGTTGAACAGATACATTCGAGTCATTACCAAGTTAGTGTCGATTCTAGTGTACCTCACAAGAATTATGTATCGTGTATCAGTATCAAATCGGAAGTGACCAAGTTGTATTGGACTTGGCCGATACTTGGAACCCTACTATCAAGTCGATTACAAATTACTCGCGGTCAGCTTGAATATAAGAGTAATGCTATTTGGACCTAAAAATATGACGTCATTTACTAACCTATTGATATAATTTTATTGAAACCATTAGATGAAGAGCAAGTTCCGATGTTTGATGAAATCCACAATCAAGCCAAATTTCATAATAGATCGGATTGGTAACTAAGATCAAATTTTTAGGTCCAAATAAAATTGCTCTAAAAATAAAGCATCTTAATTGTACGATAACACATGGTTCATTTTTTAATACGAAGACGAGCCTGATCAAGCTAGAATCAAGTCAAGCTCTAGAGACTTAATCCGAATTAATAACCCTAAAAGTGAGGGGTAGGCTTTGTGGTAAAGTTGTTATTGCTGATAATCAGATAATATATGCATTAACAACTGCTATCAAAATAAGAATCAATGAAGTCACTCAATTGGTTATAATGGATGTGGAGGTATGGGAAACATAAATCGCTTAATTCAACCAACCTTTCTCAAGTAATGACCAAAATTGACAAACACTTGCATTTTGGACCATGAACTCTATCAACAAATATTGATAATAGGGAAAGACAAATCCCATGGTACTACCTCTCTACTCGATATACAAAATCAAAAGTTTAAAAAATGAAAAATTCAATAATAAAGCATCACAAAAAAAAAAATTCAAAATTTTTGTCAAACAATATATTGTATATCTTTTCCCCCCTTATTTTTTGTTAGAGCATCCAAACCCAAAACTAATTGGCAATGGGTGGAGTGGTTCTTCAAGAATACAATCCAAACATTATTCTATTTATTTTTATTGTGGGATAGCTCTCTTCAAACCCTGCCTCACCTGAACTTGTACACATGCAAATAAACCAAACTGAAATAGACAGACAAACTGAAGCCGAATAAAAATAGATAGCTAAACATAAATGAAAATTCAACTGGGTGAGATACTTGGCCTCCTAACCAACCAAGGCAATCGGTGGAGTGACATTTCAAGTACATCAGCCAATCTTGTGACCACTTAATCGTTTAGATGTGTAATAGCTCTCTTGACATTTTCCATGTCAACCAAACAAAAAATAATAATTTCTTTTCCACTTTAATTAGCCTTTCTTAATTGAATTCATGAACCAAACGAAGCTCATGACTTTGCAGAATCAAGCAGAACTCTCTTGATTTCAAATTTTGTCAACTTTGATAAATTGGATCACTCACCGTCAAATTAATTGGTTCCTACTAGTGGGTTTAGAGGGATTCCACTTACGTTAATTCGAGCCTAGTGATGAAATATTCCACACGGCTCAGACTGAAAATTTTTGAAACTGAGAGGATTCATATCCAGATAAAGCCACGTGACATAAAAACAAAGCAATTTCAGAAAAAAGGATTAAACAACAAATATATTTGGCATATAAACTCACAGGCAGCGAGCTCTAACTGAGTCTGATAGATGAAATCCAGAACCGCAGAAATATCTTTCTCAAACTGGTGAAATGGTCCGGTCTCGAAGTTCATCTTCCGCAGCTTACAGAGTCCCTCTCCCAATTCCATCATGGCTCCTCTATGGTTCTGACAAAGAAAGAAAACAAAGGAGGGCATTATTATTCTTCTTTCCTCATTGGGTCATTAGACAGAATGCATTACGTTCAAAATAGGTAAGGATTCGTAAATACAATACTGAACCAACCTGGTTGAAGAGGTGATGGAAACCCACGGCGCATTGTAGAATCCCATGAATGAGGGTACGTGTGGGCTCTTGGGATTTGTTCCAGAGGGCTTCTAGGTAGTCGTGGCATCTGTAGTAATCCCTGCCGTTGAACAGACCAACGGCTTCCTCGAAGCTGCCGCAATCAACGGCATCGTCGCCGTTTTTGACAAAGTCTCCAGAGTAATACCGATGGGATGCTTTTGTGTGGAACGACAACGGGTGTGCGCGATTTGGGTTTGCAGATGACAAAGAAGCAAGGTTCTGATAGTTACTGAAAGGCAGTGCAGTTGGAGAGGAGGATGGCGATAGTGGAAGAAGAATGAATTGCGTCAGAGACTGAAATTTGACGAGAGAAGTTGAGAGAGTAATAACCATTGAAAATTTGATGTTCCTAGCACCCGAAAAGATGATCTTGTAATATCGGCCGGGACCAAAATTTGGATAACTTTGGGTACCTCTTTCTCTAAAGTTTGAGGGTCAAAATTTGACTACGTCTCCATCAAATTTGGATAGTTTAATCAAAATTATATAATTTGACTAGCTCTTTGTTTAAATTCTGATTAAGAATTGTTCAAATTATTTTTTTTAACTATATTTAGGTATTAAGGTTAATCAAACATAGGATTGTCCAACAATGGAGTATACAATTTCTCTTTAAAAGTTTCTACACTATTTTCCATTTCAATGTCCTCCTCAAGTTGAAAAATGTGAATCTCAACACCACTCTTAAATGACAAAATGACCATGGCCTCATTAGCCTCATGTGAGATAATGTCTTTATTAAATGTTTCACAATCAAGAATAGTGGGAGATTCAACATCAATTTGCATTCTATTGAGATGATCATCCTTAATACATTGACTATGCTCAAGATATTGTTTTTCATATATAATACTTATAGCATGAGTTAATGTAATAAGGTCTTGTGTTATTTGGGCATTGACTTCCATTTGGTATTGCATAAAATCTCACATAATGTTTTCAAATTCTTTTTCGATTGAGTCCTCATATGTTGGATAGTGGTAAAATTCATTTGGTGGTGTGAGATCGGATGAAAAATTATAAAGTTCATTCTCCCAACCATAACTTGGATAACTCGGTGTAACATAATGGTCGGGGTAAAAATTTTCGGAGGCCAAAATTGAATTTGAACTTTCGCATGCAAAGTTTTGAACCAGATAATTTATTGGGCACTCACTAGTGATGTGTTCATACTCACCACAAATCTCTCAAACATTTTCAAAGTAAGGGACACTTATTGGGCACTCACTAGTAATATGTTCATACTCACCACAAATCTNGTAACATAATGGTCGGGGTAAAAATTTTCGGAGGCCAAAATTGAATTTGAACTTTCACATGCAAAGTTTTGAACCAGATAATTTATTGGGCACTCACTAGTGATGTGTTCATACTCACCACAAAATCTCTCAAACATTTTCAAAGTAAGGGACACTTATTGGGCACTCACTAGTAATATGTTCATACTCACCACAAATCTCGCAAACATTTTTGAAATAAGGGGCATTTATTGGGGACTCACTAGTGATGTGTCCATACTCATCACAAATCTCACACACATTTTCACAATATTGGGCATTTAATACATTATCATAAAAATTATAAGACATTACATAAAACACAAGCTATTTACAAAAAAGACGACATACCTTGGCCCGTGATGAAAATCACAAGACTCATCTATGCTGTCCAAAATCACCTTCGAACTGGACGCTTAACCTTCCCCGGTAACAGCGCAAAAAATGCTTGATATTTTTCGTTATATTTCCTAGTCTCTAAACATCATCCCTTAATTGTGTATGACTTATAGGAATGGGGAAGAGTCACTCTCCCTCCAAATGATGCAAGAAATAGGAAAAATGGAATAGTGGTGGATGAAATGAAATGTACAAAATGTGTGTGTGTGAACAAAAGTGCTCCCCTAGCGCAACAAGTCTTTTGCATGTTGTGTTTTACTTGAAAAATTATTCCAAGGTCATCTTCTCAGGGAAGGAAGGGAGTTATGTGAAGGTGATTTTGTGAAAAAGAGAAAAGTGTAAAATCTTTTGAGTTTTGAGTTTGGTGAGTTGTGTTCTTAAGGAAAATGAAATGAAAACAAGTGTTGGCTAATCCAAAAGGTTTATTCCAATGGAAATCCCAAATCAACTCGAAGCTTTCCTCCAATGGTGCGTAAATGAGCAATGATTCATGGGAAGTGAGGGACAAAATGGAAGTGAGGATCTAAGCATAACCTGTGACAATGCCTACGGGATATCAAAGACTCACACTCCGGTCCACACTCAACCTAGTTAAACCGAACCACGGTACACCGAGGGGAGGAAAGGGGATGAGTTGAAATGGTATACCAAAGAGGAGTTCTCCCTTGGATTAGCCAACTAAAACTCTAGCTACTCATGCAAAAAGGAAAGACATGCATAATGTAAAGAGACATAATGAAAAAATGGAACATGAAACTTAACTTAATGCAAGAAATCTTAAACTATGAAGAAAAATATACAATACCCATTTTAAAGCTAGGAAATGAAGAAAACTTGAAAGCAACAATGGTGGAAACTAGAACATGTAACTAAACTTGCAATATACTTGAAATAAATGGGATTAAAGTGCAAGAGTTAAGGATTACAAGAAATTTAAAGCTTACTACAACTGAAATGGAAAGGAAAATGCAAAATCATAAATTTTTGTCTACTATTCATCATCTTCTTCCTTGAAGCTTTCTAAACTTCGGTAGCCACCCTCCTCAAAATGCTTATAGAATGCTGAATATATGGTGAAGGAGCCTTGCATTTTCGTCCATGGTAGTCCCCCTAACATGGGTGTGCAGGCCTCCCATCCATAGGGGGTGATTTGATGCATTGGACAAGCTAGGAAGAGTTTAGCCTGCACCCATTATGGCTGCCCCCTTCTCTCTCATCCACATTAATGTCATTACCTCAAAAATCTTCAACTAGGGTGTAAGAAGTATGTAAATGTGTAAGGGATGTCAAGGGACAAGTGGAAGAATTAATAGTGGGACCCCCAACAAGGGCGGAGGGAGACATGGGTCAGGTGGGCAAGTGCCCACCCTCAATTTTTTTTTATTAGCTAGATATATATATTATATATTTGTATAATATATTATTTGTGCCCACTCAAAATTCAAGATAAAAATGTTAGGCTCACATTATTTATTCAAAAGAATTAAAAAATTAAGCCCATTTAAAGCAAAAAATTTTTAGCCCACCACTATCTACCAAAACTTATTAAAAAATTAAATCTTTGATCTATTACAATCCACCCAAACCTATTAAAAAAATAAAACTTTTGGCCCAACAATAAAAAACAAAATTTTTGGCCCACCATTAAAAAAAAAAGTTTTTGGCCAACTTGACAGAAATCGGTAACACCTATCTTATTAGTTGTATTTTTTTTTTCTTTCTGTCTCAACCAGAAGAAACAGAGTAAAACTCCTTTCTCAGTTCCTTGAGTTTTTTTTTTATCATTCCTTGCACAGTTGATGGGTTTAGTAGAGAGCATGGGTGGAGCCAGCATATGCCCAAGGGGGGCACATGTCCACCCTCAATTTTTTTTTCTTAACATTACCTATATATATTTCAAATATTTCTTCAATATTTTTAATTATGACCACCCTATTTTTTTGGCACATAAATTATTGTCCTATTTCTATTGATTGTAAAAAAAAACAAAAATTAGTTTGTTGAAATATTCGTGCCCACCCTAACATGACTTTCTGGCTCCTCCCCTGACCCCTAAGCAAGTTATGCATGAGTTGTAGGCGTTCTAGGCATTCAAGGCAAAACCTACCGGTAGGTTTTTAGCGATCTACCGGTAGGTTTTGGCTACTGGAGTAAAAACTACTGGTAGGTTGCCTGCTCCGGACCAGTTTTCATAGAATTGTCATAACATTTGATCCAATTGTCCGATTGAGCTAAAATTTTGAAACAATATAGAAGACATCCAGATCTACAACTTCCATGTTTTGAACTTCTTTAGATTCGAAGTGGATCATGATAAAAAAAGAGGAAAATTGAGGTTATGCAACCAAATAGTGCGGGTGCTGGTGCCTATGTTGCCAAGCACCGATACCTCTTTGATTTCTTTCACTTTTAAACCTCCAAATCCTCATGTAATGTGTCCATATCTTCACCACACATCCACAAATAGTTGCAAGGTTCTAAAATACATGATTTACACTATAATTGCTTGCAACATCGAAAATTCAACATTATTCATAAATTTGGCTAACTCTAAGTACTTAAATGCAAAAAGTTGAGTTAAAATGCATGTAATGAGGTCATTAAATATACAATATTATGTGCTCATCAACAAGTTGAACCATGTTTCAACCAATTTAAGTGTACAAGCATCTTGGCATAATTTTGATGAACATGTAGAATGTTTGTTCAACCAGTTTAAGCCTTTCTTGTATCCTGATGAACTAGTTGAAGTGGATTTTTCTGATTTTTCCTCTTTTGCTCTTCTAGTTCAATTCCAATGATTTCTTTTTTTTTTTTCCTTTTTTTTACAGATTTAAAGAGCATGCTGCCTTGTAATCCACAAAGAATTATACTACAAGAAATAAACTAGCTGTAAGAAATAATGAAGGCTGCTCACAGATACTGTAGCACCTGAGAGCATGGCTGAGCAGTGCCAAGGGCTTGAGCTAAGGACATAGTTAAGAACTAGTGCTTGAGCAGAGGAAAGAGCTTGAGCTGAACTGGGAGGATGAGTTGATAGCAGAGCTGAGCTGAGGGCCTGATAATGATCAGGCGAAGGACCTTTCAAATAAGGTAGGTGAGCATTCTGATAAAGGGCCATCTGATAAGGTATCATAGCTGATAAGGCAACTGAACAGGTTTGATAGTCTATTGCACATATTCCAATGCTTTCTCATGCCATTTTGCTTAATTCCAACATATTCCTTTTCAGCTCCTTTACACCTACAAACCCAAATACACAAAATTAGTCCAATCATAATTTAATTCAAAGATTTAAACATTAAGCATATGTGCAAAATTGATGGATTAAACAATAAAATATGCAATGTAATGCACTCAACATACCCCCAACTTAAGCTTTGCTAGTCCCTAGCAAACCAAACATAGAAAAATATGCATTCATAAAACACACAATAATAATATAAAACCACTTTTATAGGATTAACGATTGCATTTAGTATATATAACAAGTCATTAAACCCCTAAGTTACTCCTAGTGGACGAGTTTTGTCTTGTGAAAGTTTTAGTGAAGGTACCTACAAACTCATCATGAAATTTAGAACATATTATTATTGTAACGGCCTGATTTTTTCTCTTCTTTTCGGATACATTAATTGATATAAAAACACCCAAATAAAAATAACAGAGCACTAATTGTCCCAATAAAATTTTATTTATCAAAATCATCTCCCAATACAAATGAATCCGTCAATATACATAAATCTCTCAATATAATTAAAACATCAATTACATCGACATCTCCTCGTCTTTAATATTCTGATTATCTCATTTCGATCTTTTCTCTAAAATTAGCCTGAAAATATTTAAATAAAGCGGGAAAGTATACAATATGACGAGGAAAAAATATGCTCCTCTCAATATAATTAAAAGATCAATTACATTGACATTTGATCGTCTTTAATATTCTGATTATCTCGTTTCGATCTTTTCTCTAAAATCATCTTGAAAATATTAAATAAAGTGGGGAAGTATACAATATGACGAGAAAAAAATATGCTCAATTATAATAATCGAGTATCACAAAGTATCTCAATCAACAAATACCAATATCATGTTTCAATATCACACATCATACAAAATTTTAACACAGATCTGACGCCTCACCAATCATCCCACCTCAACCCGATTCCACGGATCTCCCGGCTAGCGATGCATCGGCTATTGGCTGCTATGATCCCGTCTCAATATCTGCATAGCACAATCAATGAGACAAAAATATTCAACGATATTCAATTAAAATTCCAAAATAACGATAGCACAAGTTGGAATACAAATCATAGGATAATCAAAGAAATACTCTTTGCAAACAGATTTAAGAAGAGCATATTGCATACCACCCCGTACCTCAAAATCATTGTTTGAATTTTGATAAATCAGCTTTCTTCCTCTTTTTTCCCAACTTCTCTTGCCTTCTCTCTGGGCTACCAATGTATTTTCCTCCTAATTCCATAACCAAGTCCCCTATTTATAGGCCTTCAAGACTCCTAGGAATATTCTAGAATGTGAAATATTCTAAAATGTGGAATATCCTAGGAATATTCTAAAATCTTCTAGAACCTTCTTGATTCTTCTAGATTGTTCCAAAATTAGCCTCAAAGTGCAGTCCACATCGCACCGCATATTTCTTACTTCTGGGTCCATTTTTTGTCCCAAAACGATTCATTTAATCCCGGTTTAAGTCGAAATTAATTTTATTTTAACCTTTATTCAATTCTAAGGAAATTTTATAAAACTCATTTTTGGGGACTTTTAAAAGGTCATTTGTCACCCAACTGCCTCGAACCACGTGCAAAAATTTGATTATCTCAGAATTTGACAAAATTTGACAGGGTGACTAGTTTTCGCGATACGAATTCAACGGCGAAATTCGTTGTGTCATACGAGCTCTAGAGAATGCGTATTTCAATTCCGTATTATAGTGACAAATTACCATTTTACCCTTTAAGAATCCGAAACTGCTTAAGACACAACGAAACCACAGTGAACTCATTTCCCACAAATCCCATGTAAAATCTGAAGCTTAAGCTCTGATACCAAACTGTAACGCCCCGATTTTTTCTCTTATTTTCAGAGATGTTAATTGATATAAAAACATTCAAATAAAAATAACAGAGCACTAATTATCTCAATAAAATTTCATTTATCAAAATCATCTCCCTACACAAATGAATCTGTTAATATACATAAATCTCTTAATATAATTAAAACATTAATTAACGTCTCCGAAAAGAAGAAAAAAATCAGGGTGTTACAATTATATCCTAATTAATAATGAGATTTAAGAAAAATTCCGTATCTACTCATGTTGGTAATAGGTGGAAGATGAAGGCTTTGGAGGAATTTGACCTACTGGTGGATAAACAGAAGAATCGACCATACTTATTTAATCTTGTAGCTCAACTAATTTTTCGACAAAGGATTATAGAGTTGCAACAATTAGATATAGATTTGAAACTATCTGGGGTAGATTGGAGAAGAATGAGATTATTGAGAACTGGTTTGTATATAATGATGAGTTATAGTTTCATGGAAGACTATGTGTACCAAACAATGACCAAGTAAAGGAAGAAGTGTTGGAGGAGAGCCATCATTCAAAATTCTCTATACATCCTGGTAGTACTAAGATGTATAGAGACATGAAGCATCAATATTAGTGGAAAGGAAAGAAGCAAGACGTGGCCAAGTACATTGCCAAGTGTGCACTGTGTCAATAGGTAAAGATTAAGCATCAAAGATCAGGAGGATCATTATAATCCTTACTGATTCCTAAGGGGAAGTGGGACCATGTTATTATGGATTTTGTGTTAGGGTTACCTAGAAACGTCAAGGGACATAATGTAATTTGAGTGGTGGCTGATAGATTGACGAAGACTGCCCATTTGATACCTATTAAGACCATAGATAATTTGGTAACCATGAGCTAGTTATACATCCGGGAAATAGTGAGGCTACATGGGGTACCATTGTCAATTGTGTCTGATCGAGATGGTCCCTTTGTGGCTAAATTTTGGTAGAGCTTATAGAAGGCATTGGGAACAGAGTAACATTTTAGTACAACCTTTCATCCTTAGACAGAAGAACACTCGGAGAGGGTGATCCAAATTGTGGAAGATATATTAGAGGACATGTGTTCTTAATCTCAAGGGTAGTTGGAGTGAACATCTCCCATTGGTGGAATTTGCCAATAATAACAGCTATCAGACAAGTATCAGAATGACTCCCTATGAGGTATTCTATGGAAGACCATGTAGGTTCCCGACTTGTTGGTTAGAAGCTGGAGAGAGTAGCTTATTTGGATCAGAAATTGTTCGGGAGACTACTGAGAAAATTCAACTAATAAGGGAAAGACTACGCATGGCTCAAAGTAGATAGAAAAGCTATACGGAAAGAATAAGAAGACCATTGGAATTCCAAGAGGGAGATTATGTGTTCCTTAAGGTGTCACTGAAAAAGGGAGTGTTCAGATTTGACAAGAAAGGAAAATTATCCCCAAGGTACATCGGACCATTTAAAGTGATCAAAGCTATGGGTAAAGTGGCGTATCAACTTAGGTTACTAGACCAGTTGTCAGGGTTACACGGTGTGTTCCATGTATCAATGTTAAGAAAGTGCAAATCCAATACAATAGTTGTCGTGGAGTTGTAAGGGATTGAAATTCAAGAGGTAGTAACCTATGAAGAACAACTGGTGAAGATTCTCAAAACCAAGGAGAAGGTGCTTCACAATAAGGTAATCCAATTGGTGAAGGTTTTGTGGCAACATCATGGGGTGGAGGAAGCTACTTGAGAACTAGAGTTGGAGATGTGAGAGAAGTACCCACATTTATTCTCTACACAAGGTAAGTTTCGAGGACGTAATATTCTTTAAGGGGGGTGGATTGTAAACCCCCATATGTGGATCTTAATAGAGTGCCATAATGATCTCATAATGTTCATATACATAATGATGTAAGAATGAAGCATGTAGTTTGTAAGAGTAGAAATAAAAACTTTGGGAGAGGTAATATGGGGTGTATTAGAAGTTAGGAAGTATTTCAGAATTAAAGCGCATTTTAGAAAAAATTCAGGTAAGAATAAATTTGAAACTATCCTAGTATTTGGACCTTAACTTTCCACCTCGATATCCGTTAGAATTGAAATTTTTACAGTAGATTCAAGACTTCCAAGGCTACAAAAGTGTAAGTCACAAAAATTTCCTACATCAACCACTAACTAGGCAAAAGTTTCCTTGGAAGTTCAAGTAAAAACTAGAGTCCGTTCGAACGCGAATGGATCTGTTCGAATGATAGTTAGTCCCAGTACATTATTGTTTGATAGAAACTCTGATGGAAACTAAAATTATTGGGAGCAAATAACATTCTAATACCCAAAACTACGTTTAAACGCCCTATAGATAGTTTGAATGCCAAGCCTCTAGTTTGACCATATTGTCGCGATTTTGAATATTAGGTCGCGCAAATTAGACTATTTTCTCATCCTATAAGTACCTAAGGACACCTCCCTTAGCCATATTTCATCTGTTCTTAATCCTAAACAACCTTAGAGAGCAAGAGAGAAGAGGGGAAACACAAGATTGAAGGAAGATTCTCACGTTTGAATGAATCAAACATGCTAGGTTTACACACAAACTACAGAATCAAGGTACGAGATTCTTCTTGAGTTCTTTCATTGAGACTTAGTGTATTAGATATGTATGTTTTCAATCTTCTTGATAGTTATATGATTATTACTTATGAGTTTTTGATTTCTTTATCATTGCAATATAATTTTGAACAAAATACATGTTTGGGGTTCAAGAAATACTTGATCTAGAATTTCCAAAACCCTAGTTTGCTAAATACATGTTTGATTGTGAAAAATATATGGATTCTTGATTTCTAAATTTCTATACTTGATTAAATTATTTTTTCATCTAATACTTGTTCTTATTCCAAGAAATTATAATTTTTGGCAAAACCCTAGAAATTGGANAAGATTCTCAAAACCAAGGAGAAGGTGCTTCACAATAAGGTAATCCAATTGGTGAAGGTTTTGTGGCAACATCATGGGGTGGAGGAAGCTACTTGAGAACTAGAGTTGGAGATGTGAGAGAAGTACCCACATTTATTCTCTACACAAGGTAAGTTTCGAGGACGTAATATTCTTTAAGGGGGGTGGATTGTAAACCCCCATATGTGGATCTTAATAGAGTGCCATAATGAT